CAATATTAGTAAAGAAGACAACCTGCTGATTCATTGTTTGTTTGCTACTTAATTTTGAGGTTTTTTATTCATTGTTTGCTACTTAATTTATGGTTTTTTATATTCATTGTCCTGCCATCACTTAGAAATCATAACCACATAGTTTAGTTGATTCATTGTTTGCTACTTAATCTTGGGGTTTTTTGCTGGTTGTACAGGACATGGACAAGGGATCACAACCTGTGGTGTTGGAACCGTTACAAATATGGATTCAACTCAGGCTGAAGCTGTACCAGCTGTGATACCAGTTGTTGCTGAAGTTGAAAATGTCCATGCACCCCCAGAAACCGCTAATGCTATTGAGAAGCGCAAGGGTGGAACTGCTGGAAAAGTATTCTCTAAGTGGTGGCAACACTACAACAAAGTAACAGTTGGTGACCAGCTCAAAGCCGAGTGCAAATTCTGCAAAAAGAAGCTTCTGGGAGACCCAAAGCAAGGTACAAATCATCTCAAAAATCATCATGAAAGGTGTTCTAAAGTGCCTCGGCTTGTGGATATACGACAACAAGTTTTACAAGGCAATCTGGCCAAGGACAAGTTTCAATTGACGCCTTTCAATTTCAATCAAGAGGCTTCTCTGAAAGAACTGGCTAAAGCTATAATCAAGCATGAATATCCACTGTCGATAGTTGATCATGAAGGTTTCAGGAGCTTTTGCACTAGCCTGAACCCGTATTTCAAGTTGGTGACAAGAAACAGTATCAAGAAAGATTGTCTTGTTATATATGATCTTGAAAAGCAAGCTATAATGAAGTTGCTGGATAGGAATAAAGGACGGGTTGCAATGACTACAGATATGTGGACATCTTCACAGAAGAAAGGCTTCATGGCAATCACGGCACATTATGTCAACAACAACTGGAGTTTGGAAAGCCGGATTATCAGGTGTATCCTTGGTCTCTGTTATGGATTAATTCCTTTCATTGTGAGTTCAGTATTTATGTTTATTTTTCATTTTAAATTATATTAGTAACCTGCAGTTTGTATTTGTATTGTTCTTGTGCAATGCTTGTTTACTTATCTTAAAAATCATATACAGAATAGTATTACAGACAGCATACACATAAAACTCCCGAATACGCTGCTGATTATTGTCTTTATCACTTTGCAGGTTCATTTATGTCCCTTCACCTCATACAAGTGAAACCCTTTGTGATGTTTTGATGCAATGCTTGCTGGATTGGAATCTGGATTCTAAGTTATCAGCCATCACTGTCGATAACTGCTCGACAAATGATGCGCTGATTACTCGTTTGGTAGAGAAGCTTCCCCTGGAGTCTATGTTAAGCAATGGAAGCATGATTCATATGCGCTGCTGTGCGCATATTCTGAACCTCATTGTGAAGGAAGGTATGAAAGTGATTGGGGAAGGCATACAGAAGATACGTGACAGTGTTCAGTTTTGGGTGGGGACACCAAAGAGATGGAAAAAATTTGAGGAGACAGCTCGTCAACTTCGCAATACAACCGGTAAGAAGCTCATACTTGATTGTGAAACCCGGTGGAATTCAACTTTTTGATGTTGAACACTGCTTTGGAGTCTAAGGATGTGTTTAATCGCTTAAAACATCGTGAACTGAAGTACAAGTGTCTTCCTAGTGATCTAGATTGGAGTTTGACCAAAGAAATTTGTACTAGGTTAGAGATGTTCTACAAGGCCACTTATATCTTTTCTGGTACCAAGTATCCAACTGCAAATTTGTGTTTTCCTGTGGTTTGTGAGATCAAAGTTGCTCTAGATCAATGGCGTGTTTGTGGGATAGAGAGAATTGAGGTGATGGCTGCTGATATGTTAGTGAAGTATGAGAAATATTGGTCGGATGTTCATGTTTTAATAGCGATAGCAGCTATTCTTGATCCCCTCTACAAAATGGATGTGTTGGACTGTTATTTCCCTGAGATTTATGGTCAGAAGAGTGAAATAGAGATGGAGAGAATTATGTCTTTATGTCGTAAGTTGGTGGAAGAGTATGAAGAGGAGGAAAGGGTGAAAGAACAAGTGAAGGATGATGGTCAAGTGAGCTGTCCACAAACAGGAGCAGGTGTTGGGGGGTCATTAACTAGGAAATTTGACTTATATGCTTCCCGAAAGAAAAGGAAACCTATGAGGTCAGAGCTGGATACTTACCTGGAAGATGATATCATACCGAAGTCTGCAGATTTTGATCTTTTATGCTGGTGGAAATCAAACAAGGGTAAGTATCCTATATTACACAAGGATGCAAGAGACATCTTGGCTGTCCCGGTTTCCACAGTGGCCTCTGAAGCTGCGTTCAACACTAGTGGAAGGGTAATTTCTTCACATCGAAGTAGGCTGCATCCAAGTACGATCGAAGCTTTAATGTGTGCACAAAGTTGGTTGCGTGCTGATTCAAGAGGTAATCAACTAACCATTATTATTGTAATTGAAAATCTCATTACTTGTCTTATAAAATTAGAATCCATCTTCATTGGTTCTTTTTTGGAATGTAGATATGTCATCAAAGGACAACCTACATGGTACGGTTCTTGAAGATTTTAATGAGTCAGATAATGAAGTTGAGGTAATTTATATGTCTACTAGATGGTACTACATTCCATTGAATTTGTTTAGAGTGAGTTTCTTTATAGAAATCAAGGTTTGCATGGAAGCACTAAGTAGTAGGTTGATACTTTACATGCTGCCAACAATTAATAATTTAAGAACAACCATCGTTTATAGTAAATTGTGGAATTTGGATTGCAAGTTTGACAACAGCAAAGTTTAATGGATAAATACCTTCTTAACACGCCATTATTTATGAGTTATGCTTACATAGGTGCAGGATAATGGTGCCCAAAGCTAGGGGAGGAGATGTTTGCTGTTCTAGAGACTAGAGGAAGGCTTATTGCTGCTGCTGAATGAAGTTTGAAGTTTCCAGAATCTTGACTGGTCAATTGATATGTTTTTGTTATGTTCTTTTAAATTCTTATGGTTTTTGCAAGTAATTTATGGATTCGGATTTCATTTCTGAGAGGATGTTTGAGAGTTGAATTGGGATGATTGCAGTTTGAATATTTGGGATTTTGCTCCGTTTTTGGATTTTTATAATTGGAATGTGGAAGCAGATTTTCATTTTATGAGTTTTGTTCTTATAAAGGGGAAGTGAAGCAGGGGGTATATGATGAATGGTGATTAGTTTACAGGTTGCGAACTTGGAATGTGGCAGGGCGGGGTTTACCCGCCCCGTGGGGGTCAAAGCTTGGGGCAGAAATCATTGACCCGTTGCGGGTCACGGGGCAGGGCGGGGCGGTGGGTTAAATGGCAGGGCAGGTCACGGGTTTGGGGGTACCCGCCCCAATGATGACCCGTTGCCATTACTACATGTATATTTGAATGAGGTATATATGAATATACCTTTGAGAGTATCGGAACCTACCTATGGAGCAAAAAAGATGAATTGTAGATTAAGGAATTCCTTGTATGTACTAAAACAAGCTTGACGAAAGTGGTTTGCCAAATTAGGGTCGTTTGCTTGTGGGATTTGGGTGTTGTATTTGGCACCCAAATACCAAGCATTATGTATTTGATTAAAAAACATTGTTTGTTGAGATATACAAATCTGTGGGGCCCACGGATTTGGATCTTTTTTTAGTTCCAAATCCGTGGACCCCACGTATTTGCAACACTATGGAAGGCCAATTTTTGATATCCAAATACCACATAAACTAAATCCATGATAAAAATTCAACTAAACAAACAATGTTATCTTTCAAATACAAAATGCAATAAATCCATCATAAATCCAAAGGTTTGCAAAAATCAAAACCTTCATTTTCAAATCCAACAAGCAAACGAGCTTAGGAAGTGGGTTTGCACAATCAACTTCAAACTATGCACGCTCTTTACTAGACGAGTGCATAAAAGAATCACAGTGTTGTTGGTCTATGTTGATGATATAATAATATGTGTCGATGCAAAAAAAAAAAAAAAAACATAGATCATGTCAAGACAACCTTGAGCAAAGAGTTGAAATTCAAAATTTTGGGACCATTGAAGTATTTTCTGGAATTGGAAGTTAGCAAAGTACTACAATTAACTGTTTGATGAAACATGTTACTTGGAATCAAAGGTCTGTCAATCAGCAACTAACACCAAAGTAAAGCTCACTGCTAGAGGAAGCCTATTGGAAGACGTGGAATGCTACAAAAGACTAGTGAGAAAACTTCATTATGAAACCATCACAAGAACATACATTAATTGCCTTTGTAGTCTAACAACTTTGTCAATATCAAATAAATCCTCGCAATAAGCATTTTCAAGTTGCATACAGGGTCCCGAGATACTTGAAGACTTATCCATACCAAGGGATTCACTTTAGTAGCAAAGATGAGTTGAAAATGGTAGGTTACCGTTAGGGATGGCAAATTACCCACCCATGGATAATTATACCCAAACCCAAGTAGACCCATTGATAATGGGTTGGGTATGGGTGAAGTGCATATGGATTTGGGGGTTTATAGATGAGTTTGGGTTTGGGGCTTCCATAATCTAAATGGGTATGGGTTGGATATGGATATCCATTTACTTGAGGGTGTTTTAACTACACATGCAAAAATTGGACCTATTTGCAAAACTTGAAAAGTTTAGGTACCAAAATGTAAGACCAAAAAAATTTAGGTACCAAAGCGTAATTTTCCATCGATATTTTGAAGACTTATATGCAAAAAAAATTAAATTTAGGTACTAAATATGTATGTCTATTAAGTTTGGGTACCAAACTGTAATTTGTATTTGGGCATGAGTACAAACCCAAATCCATTTGATATAAACCTAACTCAACCCAAAGTAAATGAGTATGGATACAAACCCATCAAACTTTACCCATATCCATCTATTTGGATTTCATACCCAACCCAATTGGGTTGGATAGTAAAAAACCCATGTATTTGATTGTGCAGGTTGTCTTAATACACAACACCCTATTTTAGGCTACTATACATTCAAAGGAAGTTCTTTATTGAATTGGAAGACATAATAATGCAAACCGAAGTCTGAAGATCAAATTCGTGAAAGCAAGCATGCCCAATGCAAATGAATTTGTAAATGTGGGATCTTAGCGGAACTTGTGATCATATAGGAAAAAAGATGTATCAACGATTAATGTACGTAACGCTCTACACATAATCATTACCTTCTCCTCACCAAAAAGGAGTAACAATAGCTAGCTAGCCACATCACTGTGTTACACTTACATGTATGCACACGATCCATCGAGTGCTCATTACACTACCTCCTCCACCGTTATTTTTTGTTGTTGTTGAAATTCTCACAACAAAATGAACCAAAACAGAAGAGGAAACCCCAAAAATCACGAAAACATCAACATATATATATAAAGCAATCTCAAGCTGAGCTGGACTGCAGCAGGGCATCAACCCAATAACCCTTGGAAGTCATCAACGGAATCCATAATCATCATTTGTATGAAACTCATGTCGTACTTTTCATTCTCATCATCATCATCATCAGCCGCCGTGCTAAGAATGGAGGATCCAGAGGCAGCCGCCGCTTCCCTTTGGTTTAGGGTTTGACGACCGGAGCTCGCCGCGTCGCTCAAGGAGGACTCCTGTTGCTGCTTCACTACCGATGGAGGAGAAGTAGTTGGTGCCGAGGAGGATCCGGAGAATGACGCCAGGAAAGGGGTGGTGGTGGTAGTCGTACTGTTGTTGAAGCTGATGAGGTGGCAGCTGGTGGTGGAATCAACGGCGGAGTCCATCAGGAAATGTTGGTGCGAAGAAGAGTCGTGGAGGGTATTGTTGTGGCAGGTGTGGTGGGCCGAGTAGGTGGTCCGGTAGAGCGGGCTGGGCCGGTCTTGGAGCATCTGGATCTGCTTGGTGGCTGGACACTTTTGGTCGAACTTGTGAGTGCACCTGTAGTAGTGCCTGGGGAAGTCGGACTCCAGAATCTTCTTCTGCCCGTACTTCCTCCACGCGTAGCCGTCGTCCACTAGGGTTCGGCTCTCTTTCACCCAGGATCGGGATGCGGCCAGCTTCCTGGAAAATCATTCATCACAAAGATGATTCAGTATAAAAGTAATTATTTATTAGCCATTTAAGATGGTTATTTGTTTGAGATGGGTTATCCTGTTAGAACTCTTGTTTGCTAGCTAGTTATTTGTTTTCTGGTGGGCAGTTGTTTTCCTACATCCTTAGCCATTTAAATTGTTGGATTGTGGAACTTACATGATGAGAACCTCAATTCTCCTAAGTTGAACAAATCTCTAAAAAAGGAATTATGATATATTACTCATTGGTTACCCTCAATTAATATTTGCTCAAGTGATATCAAATATTCATTACAAGGGGAAAAAGAATGAGATCATCAATCACTTAGAACAGTTAAATCATGACGAACCACCAAAACCAATCTTATATTGCACAATTTAACCTGTATGACGTGTTGGTCCCATATGATTGCGCAATAAACACTAGTTCGTCATAAAATTCTACTTGAAAAAGAAAAACCCTCTCCTCTAAATCGATCAGTAACCCTAAAAGCCAATGAATCTGGAAATAAATTCAGGTGTGCAAAACCCATCATTAAAATGTCAAAATAAAGCATATGTAACCATCTTAATTAGCCACAACAGTAAAGAACGGATCGAAAAGGGTTGTTACCTTTTCTTGGTGCATCCAGCTGGGCGGTCGTTCTTGCTGGTGGAGGGGTTGCCGTCAGTGTCACCGGAGGAGCTCTCCGACTTGCGGGGACCGAGCTGAGAGACCTCGTCGAAGGACTCGGCCTTTGTGGCTGTAGCTGCAGCAGTAGTGTTCAGGAGCGAGATAGTGTGAGTGAAGGTGGAGAGGATCTTCCCCACCAGATCTTCAGCGCACCCGCCCTTGGAATCAAGAGAGAGGAGGAGCCTGAGCTGGCAAGTGAACTCCCGACCTTTTAAGAGCTCCTGGATCGCGTTGTCCCGCCGACCACCCACCTGCCTTTCCATTTTTCAGTTCAGCAGCCGAGGAGAAAAGGGAAAAAGAGAGAGGGAGAAAGTTGGGGAATGAGGTGTTAGGGGATCGAAGTCGGAGGGAGCTTTTTATATATTCAAGACCGGGAGCCGGGGAAAGGAGGAACGGATTGGATTGGGTGAGACGATGTACAGGGAAAGCGGGATGAACCTCTGCACGAAACTTCCTTAAATTAATACTCTCTCTCTCTCTCTCTCTTTCACACTCACTCTCACACTCCCAGTCGCAGGTGTTTGTCAGGAAATACCCCACGCGCAAGCGCAAGCGGGTTGTTGTTTTCTTTCTTCCTCGCATTTTTGACTTTCAAATCAATCGCATTATTATTATTTCTCGTCTTCTCCCATTTTGTTTGGTTTCGTTTGGTTAAGGTGTGTGCTCGTCCTAACACGATGCTTACGTTAGATTTGAAGGGTATTCCATTCCACCAATTAACCTTAGACTAATCTTCTCTCTTTCTATAGATATATAGCAGGTGATGAAGAGGAAGAAGAATATAGCAGGTGGGACAGGGAGTTTTTTTTTCTTCTTCTCGATCCCTTTCTTTTTGTTTATCGACCATATCATGTCATCTATTCACGTCTTTTTCCCCCGATAAAAGAAACATTATTGCTTCCATGTATAAAAATGAACAACAATTTGTCTTGCATCAACCAACTAGCTGATCAATACCTCTATAATAAGCTAAGTCTTATATATACATAACCTCGCTAGTGTATGCCAACCACTTGCATTTTGTCTCTACTTAGCCACAAGTTGCAACAATATAACACCTTCAAATGATTGTCAAAAATGAATATGAAAAGCCTCCAAATTACAATACGCATTTTAAAAACACAGAAAGTATAGCTTAATAATCACATGCCCAAAACTTATTATGCCTTGGGTTAGCTTAATTATGCCAAAGATGGTGCATGTTACCACCTTCCCAGCAAATATATAGTACTACATGTTGCCATTCTGGGCAACTGTACATCGCTTACGGATGAATGTGCTCAACAAAGTATTGCTCAACAAAGTATTAAAATACTTTAACATGTACATGTTAGAAATATCACTTAATAGTTTCATACGTACATCAAGATAGTCCTTATGAATAAATAGAATTTCATCACTTGTACACAGGAAAAAAAATGAAATTCTCAAAACTCCACTCACGCCGATACGCCACTAACTAATGATCTTTCATTAAGACTAACTCCAAACCAAAAGGCTATAGTTAGCCCCTCAAGCTCTTAAATGTGCATTTTTACCTCCCAAAAATACTTTTTTGCTCCAAGCCTCCAACCCTAAACCTTCTAAATTTGCCTTCCCAACTCAAAACTAGCCAATCAAAAATTAAGAAAGTAAAAAAAAAAAAAAAGCAGCAGCTGGAAAATGGAGGGCCCCACCGTGCCCCCTGCGTGTGGGCTTGGCTACCGCAGGGTCCCCCCACATTCTCCTTGCATTTTTGCCCATCCCTCCATTTTAGCTGCCATCTATCCACTCCCAAGCCAATTTTTAGTTGGGTTGGATAGGAAAAAGTGGAAAACATCACTTTCTCCAAATTTGCATCCTTGGGCTTGAGTTAGTCTAACAAGTGTACCATAGTCAAACTATTAGTATAGTCACTACAAAAAAGACTGCCACTAGTGACAAGAGGTTTTCGTCGATAAAGGCCAGATGTTGTCGCAAATGCGCTTTTGCGACGCCATGAGGCCGTCGCACGCCATTCCAAATATTGGCGTCACAAAAACTTTCTTCGTGACGAGCTATCGTAAAAGCTGTTTTGCGACAGCTAGGCGTCATCGCTAATGAGTCTTCAAATTGACGAAATACACACCTTTTTTTTCCGACGACAAAGAATCATCAGAAAAATTAATAATTGTGTCAGTAATAAATTTAGTTTGACGAAGATTGACAACATTTTACTTTCTTTGACGGCACATAGACGTCGATATAAGAAATAATGTTATCAATAACAAAATATTTTGGACGATGTTTAATGGTATTTGGGATGATTGAACGTCGTTTTACCACTTTTTGTTTATGAAATGTGATTGTCATAAATATTTAAATTTGTGACAAAAATAGAATATATTGATTTTCAGGTAATTTGAATATTTTAACATTCTAAATATTCTAAATGGCCAATATTTGATTAATACAAAATATAGACATATGAAATCCAAGGACATGACACCAAGTCCAAAAAAAAAAAACGAAACAAAATATCAATCTTGATTGCTCTTTTCTTGATCATCTGAGTCGTATCCTTAATTGTCATCTGAATCTTCTTCTTCGCTAATTTCGTCCACCCTCTCGTGATGCTTGCGTCTATTTCCAGCCTTGTTAGACTTTCTTGACTTCCCTTCTAAGAGCACAACACAAAATTAATAAGGGAATGCAAAACAAAATGAACCCGATAACTCCAAAACATATATCCAAAACAAACGAAAACCCATGTTCAATGAGTTGTTTATTCCTCTCGTACAAATAACATAGAAAGCCAAAAATAACCAATGTTATGTTTCTTACTCTTGTTCAAGAACCCAAAACCCCAAACAAACGAAAATCAGAACCCTTGTCCTGCTTCTTCTACTTATTCAAAAACCTAGAAAGCCAAATCAAACGAACCCTATAACCCAATCAACTCGAACAAATTGACCAACTAGTGTAAACAAATTTGACAATCACCATGTATAGAAATGGGTGCTTGATTCTAGAACCCATTATGCCCAGCTCGATCCCTTCGCTAGAAGCCCAAAATCGCCTACATCTCCAACTCCATTCGCCACAAAACCTAGAAACGCAAGCTAAGAAAACAAAATACCCATAATCGCATGACTTTCTTGTAGAAACAAGGAATGACAACAAATTTCTTCACCTCTGCTTACAGTAGCAACCCTGAAAAGTCAGGGGAGGCGAATCAGAACCCTTGTGCTCGTCGATCTCCGCCGCTCCTCCCAAATCAGACAACGACCAGCGCACCTCACCACCACCAACACAATAATCAACCCGCCGTCGCTCGTACCCGTCGACGCCTTCTATAGATCCGTATCAATACCTTCAACACAGAAAACAAATACAGAATCGTAGGGCAGAGCTCGCATGCAGAGGGAAATAGGCAAGCAGCGGTGTCCGAGGCAGGAAGAAGGATGCATGAGTCGGAAGGAGGATCTAGTGGGGGATCTCATCATCAATTTGCCCGATAGAAACGAATGTCTGCTGGCAGGAAATGCCTTTGTGAACAAGTCAGCTAGCTGGTCTTCGGAAGCTATGTAGAAGATGCGAATGGTACCGTCCTTGACCAGATCCCGAATGTAATGAACATGAACTCGCGATGTGCTTGGTACGATCATGAAGTACCGGATTAGTAGCAATGCGAATGACGCTGGTATTATCAACATATAACTCCATGGGTATAGCACAGGTCACCCCAAGATGAGCCAAGAGACGACATAGCCACTCCATTTCAGAAGTTACATCTGACATGGCACGATACTCTGCCTCAGTAGAAGACTTGGAGACCTTGTCTTGTTTCTTACACCTCCAGGAAATGATAGACGTGCCAAGGCGAATGCACTAGCCCGTTGTGGATCGACGGGTATCAATGCATCCGGCATAATCCGAGTCCAAAAATGCTTGAAGAACCAAAGAGCCATTGGAAGGAAGAAATAGACCCACATCACAAGTACCACGGAGATATCGTAGAATTCGATGAACTGCTGCTAAATGATCGGTACGAGGAGCTGCCATGAACTGGCTCACAATCTGCACAATATAAGCTATGTCGGGACGAGTGGAGGCCAAATATATGAGACTGCCAACGACACTGCGGTAGTGACGACCCCCATCTGGTAACAAATCACCAGAATCCCTCCCCGGCTTGAGATTAAGTTCAATCGGAGTAGAAACTGGAAGACAGTCACTGTAACGAGCATGGTCAAGCAAGTCCTCAATATACTTGCGTTGACTAAGTAGGATACCATGTCGAGACCGTGTGACCTCAACCCAAGATAGTAGGACAATGAACCGAGCTCCTTGAGATGAAAAGACTCATGAAGCCCCTTGATTAAGGCTGAAATCCCCTCAGCATCATCTCCAGAAATAATCATGTCATCTACGTATAAAAGCAACACAACCAGGCCTTGAGAGGCGCTCCGAGTGAACAACGACGGATCATTAAGACTTTGAGTAAACCCCAAGCTGAGAATAGTGGACTGAAATTTGTCGAACCAAGCACGAGGAGCTTGTTTAAGCCCATACAGAGACCAATGTAGAAGACAAACCTGATCCAAAGTGCCGTGAGGATACCCAGGAGGACGCTCCATATATACAGTTTCCTTCAACTCGCCATAAAGGAAGGCATTCTTGACGTCGAGCTGATAAAGAGGCCATCTTTTGAGAGAAGCCACAGCTAGAAGAGAACGAATGGTGATCATCTTGGCTACCGAAGCGAAGGTTTCTTCAATAATCGATGTCGTACTCCTGAGTGAATCCTTGAGCCACAACCCGGGCTCTAAACCGCTCAATAGACCCGTCTGGTTTAGACTTGATAGCATAAACCCACTTACTACCAATAACAGGGATCTCCGGTGGAGGACGGGGAACCAGCTCCCAAGTGTTTTGTGCATGAAGAGCCGAAAACTCTTCATTCATAGCACCCTCCCAACGAGGATCACCACGGGCCTGGGAATATCTCGTAGGCACAATGATGGGGTCAACCTGAAATGAGACATAATCATGCAGATAGGAGGGGGGGCTGCCCCAAAGTCGCCCAGGTTGAACGGCGAGGAGGTGCAACCGGAACTGGAGACGGCGAGGGAGAAGATTCCGAAGAAGATGGCGAGGTCGTGGGGGCGGGAGACGAGGGAGCATTCAAAGGAGTGAGCGGGCTGGGCGGGTCGTCCGTGTCGAAGCCATCAGCATGATCAACAACGTCAACATCATCGGGGAACGAGGGTAGACTTAAGGAAGTATTAAACAAGGGAGTAGACTCGGCCGAGGAAGAATAAAACAACAAGTTCTCAAAAAATACTAGGTTGCAGGTTGTACGAATACGTCGAAGCATAGGGTCATAGCACAAGTACCCTTTATGAATATCACTATACCCGAGGAAAAGACAACGAGCTGTCTTAGACGTGAGTTTGATACGTTCAGACCGGGGAAGAAACACAAAACAAAGACAGCCAAAGACACGGAGACGAGAATACGAAGGATGATGACCAAACAGTTTAAAATAGGGACTCTCATTACCCAAAACCGGAGTAATTTGATAGTTAATGAGACATACAACAGTAGACACGGTTTCAGGCCAAAAGGAAGAAGGAACACGAGAAGCCAATAAAAGAGCTCGAGTAACTTCTACGACATGTCTATTTTTGCGTTCGACCAGACCATTTTGCTGAGAAATACCGGGACAAGACTTTTGAGTAAGAATACCAAGGGAAAGATAAAGTTGCAGAAGCGGAGTAGAACTAAATTCCCCACCCGGATCAGAACGGACTACACGAACGGTTCTATTAAACTGGGTTTGAATCATTTTTAGAAATTCTGTGGCAATAGACAAAAGCTCAGACTTAAGACACAGAAAATAGATCCACGTGTAACGGGTGGCATGATCCACAAACAATGCAAAATATTTGTAGCCATGACGAGAGGTAGCTGGACTAGGGCCCCAAAGATCTGTATGAATTAAGTGAAACGGTTCGGTAATAACAGTAAGGATGGATGAAAAAGAAATGCTCGTAGTTTGGGCTTCCACACAGCTAGTGCATGAAAAATCCGAGGAGTGAGCTACTTTATTACCATACAATTTCTGTTTAAACATAATTCCACGACGAACAGAGTTGGGGTGGCCAAGCCGAGCATGCCACAACTGAAAATGCCTATCACCAAGACTCGAAAACACAGGAGAGGGAGATACCCTAGACACCGACGACGCAGAACTGGAAAAACATGGAGACAAATCCCGAGATGTTGACGATGCTTCAAACTTCTCAAGATAAAATATCCGCCCTTGTTTGCTACCCTTGGCGATCTCTCACCCCGTCTTCAGATCCTGTATAGAACAACTAGAGGGTGCAAACACAACACGACAACCATGTTAAGTCAACTGTCCCACCGATACTAAATTAGGAACAAGCTTAGGCACGTAGAAAGTATTAGGCAATGTCACATCACTATCATTATCGAACCCTTGCCCTCAACAGGTATGCGAGCCCCATCAGCAACTTGTAAGGAAATATCATTAACCGATACCATATTTGTCAAGGCAGAACGTTGATTCGTCATATGATTAAAGCAGGCAGAGTCTAAAATCCAACGTGGAATCTTACCGGATGCTTGAAGGCTAGCAAAAGCCGAGTTGATGGCCTTGTTAACAAGCTGCTCGAGAGCTGCTGTGGTCACCATCATCCCCTCACCATTCAAAACAGTATGGGTGGCATATGCAGGACGTGAAGGACCAGAACCTCCACGATGCTGAGCTGGGTAGTTACTGCTGCCATTGGAACCATTGTTTCCAGGAGAACGAGATACAATGGAAGGGCAGTCGGGAATGATATGGCATGTCTGTTTACAATAAACACACAAATTCCGACGACGACAGTACCTTTTTGTGTGGCCTTTAGTATGACAGTGATGACATTCGATATCACGTCGAGGAGCTTGAGAATGATATGTTGCGAAGGCAGCAGCCTCATCGTTACCGCCAGCAGATGACGAAGAGGACCCTGCGTTTTGTGGAGCAACAGTTGCTGGCGCTGGCGTCGACATTGATCCTCCTTGGGCAACTGAGAAAACAGCCGGTTCACCATGACTCGGTCGGGCATCTATCACCGCCTGAGTATGCAGCCGTGTCTCTTTGCGGAGAAGGGCACCCAAAACCTGCTCAAGTTGAAGACCTTCCCGATTGAGAAGGGTCGATCGCACAACTTCAAAGTCAGGTCGGAGGCGGGCTAAGAACTACATCATCCGAGTTTTATTTCTTTCGGCCTGAACCTCAATGGAGGCAGCACTGGACAGAAGGGAAGCTGCAAGCAAATCTTGTTCTGTCCAAAGGAGTTTGGCGGCATTATAGTACGTAGTCACATCTTGTTCTCCCTGTTGAAGATTGGCAAGTTCAATCTCTACTTCAAATTGGCGGGCAACACTTGTAGAGGAATACGTAGCACACAGAGACTTCCACATCTCAGCCGACGTTGGGAGAAGGCGGAGACCAAGCACAATTGACGAATCTACAGATTTCAGAATCCACGAGTGCACTTTCGCATCTGACTCCATCCACTTGATGAGCTCCTATTCGGTAGGAGGAGGAACAACCGGTTTCTTTGCGGAACCTTCAAGGAAACCAAAGAATCCTTGACAGCGGCGTATCCAGGATATAGTATAGCACAGGGCCGCATTTAAATAGAAAATTAAATATTATAAACAAAAAAATATAATAACTATAATTTCCATTAAAATGTCAATATAGTAAGAAAATAATATTGTTGTCGTCTTTTTATTTGGTGTTTGAGAAGATATCATGATGAAATATCTTCAAATATGCATAATTAAATAGCACAAGTGTGAACGCAGGCGTATAGCGTATGTGAGGTGTACGCATTAGGAATGTTGTAAGAGCCAGAAGAGAGTTCATAGGTTATAAGAAATGTTCTTGAAGTTGAACATTACGAAAAACCAACAAGTTCGATCAAGGAGTTGTTCCATCGATCAGTTGCCCATCTTCAATTGGAAATGAATGAGTTATTAAAAAAAAAAAGCATTGCTATGAGCCCATGACGTACATAAAGGGCTGGGCTGGGGATTGGGGAAAAGGGCATACTGGCGAAGGAAGATTGATCCTTCTCTCTTTAATTTTTTGGCCGAATTAAAAGAGAAAGGAAGGACTTTTGGGAATTGGATTTTGGACTTTTGGGTGCTTGGATATTGGATTTGGGTTTGGAAAGCCTAAAAGATTGGGCCCAAAATAATGAGTGGGCTGGAATTATAGGATATAACATCTTTATGCCAGGAGGAGGGCTGGACCCGGGCCCAGTGTGGCCCTCCCCTGGATCCGCCGTTGATCCTTCACCTTCGATAAACATACGGAACTGGAACTCCCACAGCGCGAAGTTCTTGGAATTCAGACGGGTGTTGATATTATCGGACTCCATGGCACCGAGCTCTGATACCATGTTAAGAACCAGTTGATCCCAATAACTCGAGTTGTTGGGAGAAGTTCAATCGTGGATCATATATCATTTTCTAACACACCCCCTCAAACGAAAGCCACCATATATGGGCTTGAAGTTTGCACAGGCATCAGGCACCATATGCTTAACAGAAACAAATGGGGGTCACCGAGATTCGAACAGAAGACCTTTCAGTCATAGAAGGCTCTGATACCATTTCCGATGATACAAAACTAGATCGAAACGAGACGAAGTTTACGTGGTTTCCTTGTTCGATCAAAGGTCGAACAAGACTAGTCCACGGGAAGGAGTTGTTTCTTCTTTCTTTCACTGTAACCTCAACGTTTCACCTAGTTACATATATACACAGAATCGACTATGCTTCTCTAAACCTAGCCGAGTTGTCCAAGTCCTCTAGGGCAGTTGGCCAAAGCCCATTTACATATACGTTATATCTCAACATAGGGTTCATCTCTATCTTGGTAATTAGTGTATTTACCTCATATAAAAGGGAAAACTACACAAAAAGGAAGAATAAGACATGCTCATGCTTATAATCCTCTTCTCCCTCTAGCTCACTTCCTCTCACTAGTCTCGAGTATCATTAAGCTTTGGATAAATGAAAAAGAAGGCTCCATGATCGCCCTCTCTCTGGAACTCAAACACCCTATGTTTCTCAATCCAAAATTAAACTCCCGTTGGAGAAACGAGTCCTTCTCTAAAATCCATCACAACTCTAAACACGTACAAAACCTAAGAAATAGTGGTCTGCTGGTTGCGGTTAAGTCTGAACTGCCATCAGAAAACATTTCTTAGGGTTTTCCTTGAAAACACGTCGAACCGCTGCCTGCATGAAAATTGTACTCGGGTTGGTACTGGAGCCTTCTTGTTGGTTGTCATGGTATCGTTGCCTCGTTGGGCTTCTTCTTTATATGATGGGAAGGATTGATGATGACCTCCACCTCCTTCTTGGTACTCATGGTAGGAATAATGATCATGGTAACCTTGATAGAGATGATCTTCATATACTCCACCAAATCGTGGATACCAGATGTTTGTCCATCTCCAAAATGACCTCCACCGCCTTCAACCTCCTCGGTGTAAACAAACATCTCTGCTTTGGAAATGTTATTGGCATTCAAAAATTCGAGCATGACATCAACTTCCTTCCGAGTGGTTATGAGCAATTCCTCATGCAACAACGACCCCCCTAATCTGTTTGGATATCGATACACCATACGATCAACTCTCCTCTTGCCTTCCATACAAGTATCTGTAGTACACATTTGATGGAGCTCTTAAAATTGTTTTTCTCAAATAAACGATCGTGTATTGAGAAAACATTGGAGGTGTTTTATTCTAACTTTCTTGCATAGGGCTTCATTCCTTATCCACTTCTCTCCAATCAAGTCAGAATTGGTCCCTATATGAGTAGGCTATATAACATGAACAAAAAGAGTAAACTGGCATTAATGTGGCAAATCATGAGATTTCGTAGAGGAGTAAACAACCAACACTAAATGTAGTATGAACAAACGGATATGGAACAACGGATATGTATAATATCTAACCTATCACACACCCTATCTTATTCATATAATTGGGACTTCTAGCTCTAGGTGTAAGATTCAAGTATTGGTCAATCCTGATTCTTCATACCAAAATCAGGTGTTGTGGGTCATTTATCAGAGATATTGGGGCTACAAATCAATAATTTTTTCGAGGGAAACATATCAACAATTCTGATTTACCCATAATTTATGTTGTACATTCAATATAATAATTATTCCACAACTTAATTCCCTACCTTAACTATTAATAGAATCTTTATATTGGTGTATAGTTTGCATGGATGACAATTAGTAATACCCAAGCTAAATTTTGATTATAGTATCAGAGAAATAATTCAAATCCATTATCTATTTTCTTTTCACATACATTTCTCTACCAGTTTCTTTTTTCAAATGGAAAAATTGTAAAAACGTTCCTTAAATGATTAAAATTTATTATTATATCCCCGACATAGCAGGTTTGCGTAAAAAGGGTGACCCTCTAGCACTTTTCACCACAAAATCGGCTCAAGATAGGGTGCATAAGACTAACTCCAACCCAAAAGGTTTTATTTAGCCTCTCAAGCTCTCAAATGTGCATTTTTACCTTCCAAAAACACATTTTTGCTCCAACCCTAAACCTTCTAAATTTGCCTTCCCAACTCATAACCAACCAATCAAAAATTAAGAAAGTAAAAATAAAAATAAAAATAAAAGATGTTGGAAAGTGGAGGGCCCCAGCGTGTGGGCTTGGGTTCCATGGTTGGTCCCCCACCTTCTCCTTGCATTTTTCCATATGAGCTTCTATCTATCCACCCCCAAGCCCACTTCTCCAAATTTGCAAGCCAAATAATTGGTGGGTTGGACATGAAAAAAGCCAAAAACCTCCCTTTCTCCAAATTTGCATGCTTGGGTTGGAGATAGTCTAACCAAATCTAGACCCTTTATTGAGAAAATTCATATCTTTTTCGTTTTAACTCGGATTTTAATTTTTTTTTTGCACAGATGGAACAAGTTCATCGTGCTCTACAAAATGAGATCAATTTTCAATATTTTTTGAGAAAAAAAAATTCTGGCCTCTCAGTACCAACTGCATACCATATGGTATCTTCTTTGTTTTAAATTCGTTTTTGAAAACGTTTGCACAGAAGGGACGAGTTCATCATGGTCTATTGGATCTACAAATTTTGGGCGAACAAATTACAGTACCAAAAAATACCAAACAATACCATACAATACCACCCTGGTACGGGGTGGTATCTTGTGGTATACAATGTTAAAAGTCGTAAATGACAATTAATATACTTCTACTATCATGTATTCGACCATCCTACAGTCTTGGTTTGTTCATACTACCATGGTACGTTTTTCAAACCATAGGTGTGCTTTTATTTCAATACCAGTAAATACCATATGGTATAGACTGGTAAAAAATGACTCAATTTTTTTTGTTCGAAAAATATATCAAAGTGGATATAATTTTAAAGAGCACAATTAATCTGATCTAATTGTGCAAAAAAAAAAAATTTTGACTTAAAATGAGTGAGAAATCGTTCGTCAAAGATTAAAGAGGGGAAAATTAAAGACTTTTCAGAAGAGAGAGGATGGTGATGTCATGGTGATGTGGACGGATTACTCACCATAAGGTTACTGACCTGATCCATTCCCCACAAAATCGCAAGCAACTTAAAAGACAAGGAAAAATTCTGGATTCTGACAAAAAAAAAAGTTGTGGATTATGATCACAATATTGTGCAAACGCGACAAAAATGAAGATCATACCAAAGATATAGAGTGAAATAAAATAACGTTGAAACAAGTAGGGATGGCAAAAATATCTATAACCGTGGATATCCGCCTGAATCCGGCTTAATGGGGTAGGGTAAAATCCGAACCCGAAAGACATTTAGTGGATACGGGTAAAACCCGAACCCGAATATTGTGGGTAATGGGTGTGCATGAATTTCTCACTACCCAATCCGAACCCGCCCGATTATACAAATGCATATGTATTTTCTCTAGATATAATCATTATTTTTCTCTAACATATTTTATATTTAGCATATAAGTATAATATTTTCATGAAATTGTGTTGTTTTAATTAATTTTCTTCATTCTAGTGAAATATTGTTGTACTTTTCCCCTTACGTAATGTGAGAATTCGTGTGAATGTTAACATATTTGTTGAAATTATGAAGAGAAATTATTACCCATAGATCATCGTGGATAACCGAAACCCGAATGGGTATGTGCATGGTTTTGATTTTCTACCCGTTTCACGTGTGGGTATGCCGTATGGGTATGGGTAAAACCCGAACTACTTTGAGTAGGGTAACAGATATGCACTATCCACCCCCAACCCGACCCATTGCCATCCCTACTATAAAAAAAATGAGCTTGACAATTGATTGGAACTTTGTGAGGCCATAACGTTGCGCTTAGTTATCGATAGATATAACTTTTAATGGGTAGAATGTCACAGTTTATTTGGTTCCTCTTTTCCTTCAAAGACGCTCATTTGCTTCTTCAAATAAGCTAGTATATAATTTTTCCAAATTTTGAATGCTTGTTACTTTGTGCTTTGGGATCCAATTGGCACAATCTTTCTTTCTCCTTGTAGTTATAGGTGACTTTGAAGGCTAAATCTTTCATCTAGCTGCGGATGATTTTAAGAAGAGGGCATATTATGGTTTTTGATTAGTAATTTGTATGTTTTTAGGGAGAGTTTAGGGGTTTTGAGTATTATTTTTATATTTTAAATATTTTCAAGATTTATACTCATCGACACTAAAATTAGCAAGCAGAGCCAATTACAAATCTTGGCTTCATCAAACTAAGTTAATTCTTCATTCTCTTCGTCGCTATGTCTCTGAATCTATATACCCCTATGTTTGGGACTTTTTCTATTAACGAGACATGAATTATTTTTGGAAAATTCGTATTTTCTCATCTCCTTCTTGTACTTTGAATCCTTATATGTTTGTTCTTTCTATGATGCATTATTATGTGTATTGATTATAATACTATCATAGGATACAAGAAAACTAATCTCTATGTAGTAGGCATCATAATAAGTGTGTATAGAGGGGAAAGTACACATTAGCTACTTAAGTTCCTATCATAAGAGGTGTATGCATGGGTAGGAAATGGCTTTAGTGGGAGGGATAAGATGTCATCATAACATTGATGCATATAGGAACCTTATCAAGTAGAAGTATGCATGCTCATCTAGAGGATACATCCTGAACAATTGCCTCTTTCTTATTTTACTCTACTTTTCTATTTCGTTTACTCCTTGATTTACATAGCAACTTCCTCGAGTTTCCTAGGGCACCTCAACCAATCGTTTTTACTTTATGTTATTAAATCACTTGTGCATCTAGTTTTTATTAGATATCACCAAAAGAGCTCGTGGAATACGATCCTAAGCATCCCTAGGATTATCACTATATATATCTACATCAAGTTTTTGGCACTGTTGCGGGGACTTTTGATGGTGTATTAGAAATAAGCTATATGTTCAAGGATATTATGATTTGTTATTCTCATTTTAGGAACCAAGGCATTGATTCAAGGTGCAAGATGGTTACCCTATTCGAGTACTTTCGACCCAAATGCTCAAGGTTCATAACAAGTAGCATCCACCTTACGAAAAACATGAAGATTAAAGCCCCTTGGATGCAAATGGTGCCAAAATAACTATAATTTGATGGAAAAGACGACAAGGATCTAGTAGATCATATTAGGAGATTCAATGATGTCTGCTCTACCAAAGAAGGACAAGAAGGAGAAACCATACACATGAAACTTTCCCCCATCTCGTTGAAAGGGAAGGCTCAAGTCTGGCTCGACAGGTATCCAAGAAACACTTTCTGAACATGGGAGGAGGTTGCACAAGCATTCCTACTTGAATACTTTCCACAATGGAAGCGGAGGAGCTTAAGGAACATTCATCTTCCCCTAGTGGTTCACTCTCTTTGTGTAAGGGTTGGTCCAGCTAACGGAAGTATTCTCCTTATCATTGCAGTGGGCAGTGTTTTAATGGATTGTAAGTTTTTAGAATAACAATAGAGAATACTGGTTTGAGATCATCTACTCATTGGAAGTCTTTCTCGTCCCATCTTAAATAGTCATTCTTGTGTTCTTTTCTTTGGTTAAAAGTGGCAGCTTTGGTTTCTATCCTCAATGTCAGTTTCTGGTCGTGCACATCTATCATAGCTCTTGCAGTTTCCTAGAAAGGTCCACCTAGAAATAATGTAGAGTTATGATTATTAGTAACCATTATGACAAAATATGCAGGGAAATCATAGGGTTTTAACTTCAACAAAAGCATCTTCATAGACTCCCATTGGATGCCTAGAAGTTTATCTATTAATTGGATGGTCATTCGAGTAGGGTCAAGGGGCTTCTTTGTCTTGAGCTTCTTATAAACACATGCAAGTATAACATTAATACTAGCTCCTAAGTCGACAAGACAATCATCAAATTTCATCATAACAATGACACAAGCAAAAAGAAACTCCCTCGATCCCTTATTTTTTGGCTGTATATGGTGCGTTACTACGAAGAAGCAGTGCTCGTTAAGGATGATGGATGTAGCATCAAGCCATGCAATCTATGGGATAGGACATCTTTCATATGTTTGGAGTACTCTGGGATCCTTCCGATTACATCTACCAAGGACATGTCAACATGAAGTTTGGTCAACGTCTCCATGAAGTTTCTTAGTGAGATTTCATCCTACTTCTTTATTCTCTCCGTGTATGGTGGTTGGAGGGTCTTTTCTCTCTTTCTTGATAGAGTGGCCGAGTTGGTTGCTCATCTTTGGACCTTAAAGCTTCTTCAATTATGATCTCCTCATACAAAGGTGGAGGTGTTGACTTCCTAGTATTTTCCTAGAAGGTTCTCGTAGAGGTTGTGCTTGATGAGTCGATATTTACACATGTTTTTTGTCTGCCATTCTTATACTGTCTGAGG